GAGAGAATGACTCTGAATGATGAGCTCTTCAAACTGTAGCATCCTCCTGCACAAACCATCTGTATCGGTCAGCTCAGCTGCTGTAACAAAACACCACAGACTGAGTGGCTTAAACAACTGACATTTGTTTGCTCACACTTCTGGAGGCTGGAAGATCACGATCTTGATCTGAGATCAAGGTTCTGGCTGCTTGGATTTCTGATGAGGGCTCTCTTCTTTTGGCTTGCAGATGGCCGCCTTCTTGGTACATCCTCACTTGTCCTTTCCTTGGTGTGTGCACGCCAGGACAGAGAAGGGGGTGGGCAGAGTGAGGCTGGTGGGTGTCAAAGGACTCTCTGGTGTCTCTTCTTATAGGGATACCAATCCCATTAGATCAGAGTCCCACCCTTCTGACCTCTTTTACCTTAATTGCTTTCTCACTCCACATACAGCCATACTGGAGGTTAGGCCTTCAACATATGAAAATTGTTTAAAAAAGATTTTTATTTATTTATTCATGAGAGACACACAGAGAGAGGCAGAGACACAGGCAGAGGGAGAAGCAGGCTCCTCGAGGGGAGCCCGATGTGAGACCCAATCCTGGGACTCTGGGATCATGCCCTGAGCTGAAGCCAGATGCTCAACCACTGAGCCACTCAGGCGTCCCTCAACATATGAATTTTGAGGGCCACCCACAGTCAGTCATGCCACCACCAAATAGCTCTGTTACACGAGCTGGGCAAGTCTCAGGTGGTGGGGGGATGAGAAGCGGCAGCAACGTGGATGAGGTGCAAGCCTCCCTCCCTTATCTGCTCATCCCGTTGCTTATCAGCAGCATCCCTGAATTGGGGGTTTGACTCCTGCCCTCCTGACATCACAGGCAACTGCTCTCTGGTGTTCCCACACAAGGGTCGCTTGACAAGGAGCAATTTAGATAGTTACAAATCTATATAGAAAGATTAACTTCCACGGCTTTCATCGCCGAGCCTTTTCTGAACATATTAACCTGTTGCTCTGACCCTCAGCCAGTGTAAATAATTGAAAAGACTCTCCAGGGTTAAAAGCCAGCAGACTGAGGCGGGGTCATCTGTTAATAGAGCAAAGCTACTCAGGGCGGTGTGCAGCCCCCTGCTTCCCAACGAGCCACCAAGGAGCAAACGAAAACTTGAGAGAGGAAAACCTAAGAAGCCTCCTTTAGCTCACCTTGTCTGTTTTTACTTTTTTATTTTTTTGTTTTTATTTTTTTAACCATGTTACACCATTCGAAATTCACTCTAGCTAATCGGGTTTTTCCATCTGGTACCTGGTTCAGATTTTTCTCTGAACAGGATTGCTGCACACAGTTTCCTGTGGTGTGTTTATTAGAGCTCCTCCAAAGAGCAGAGCTATTCAGAAGTGTTTGAGGTCAGAGGTGTCCCAAGTGACGTGTGCATGCTGAGGGTGCGCTGAGGAATCTGCTGGGAGGGTGAGGAGATTTTGGAGCTTCTTTTTATATTTGCTCTTAAAATCTCTTCCTTTAATTTCTATTTTGTGTGTTTTACGATGTATATGATATTCTCTTCCAGTTTGTATTAGCGGCGCTAATGAATCAACCCCATGTTCCCAGTGGCTTAACACAGTGCAAGGTTACATCCTGTTCACACAGGACCCCACATGGGTGTTCCTGGTTGAGTGGCCTTCCATGTGGCCATGTAGAGGCCTATGCTCCGTCCATCTAAGGGGTCTGTCCCCATCCATGTCCTCAGAGCTCTCTCCCCTCAACCAATGTATGTGTGGGGTGGGGAGGAGGGACCTTGGCACATCAGCTCCTTAATCATGTGGCTCAGAAGCGACAGGATTTACTTTCTCTTTCCATTGGCAAGAAATAGCCCCACCCGAATCCTGGGAGGCCAGGAATCTAGTCCCTGGCTGGGCCGCTACCCCACAGCGCCAACTTCACACCATCTTTGTGCTCAGCTAGCCGCTTCGGCTACACACAATAGGAAGTGTGTTGCTGTTGTTGTTCTTAATGAGGTTATGCAACCATCAGAACTATACACATTTGGAGACTAGTGGTTTAGGAGCTGCTAAATTTGGCTGTCAGGCCAAAACTTGATCCTTTTTTCCAAAATGAGGTGAACTTAGCAGCATAGTTAATGAGGAAGACAGGATCAGTCGGTACTTAGTTCGGGACTGCCCTCACTCCTGCCAGCCCTCAGGCCCGAGGGGGACACTGCCATGGCCCCACCGCCGGGCTCCCTTGGAACTGGGGATGACCCATGAGACATTTCAGCAGCTTTAATTACTCCATCTCCGTAGGCTCCTTTAGGTCATCCTTTATGGTGACCGGCTCTTTCCAGTTGGCCCTGGGCTTTCCTGGTCTTAGTACTCAAAGTTCCATGTGCCAGGAAACCCTCAGCTCCAGGCAGACCAAGACAAGTTATCTGGGACCGTCCTGGTTATAAAATTGAAAGAGTCCCATGTTCTGAAATCCTGCTCAGTCCAGGGTGATCGGTCCCCCGACTGTCTTTCTAGCAGATTCTGTTATTTGCCCCTGGGTAGAATTCAAGGCATGTCGTAACATCTGCCTATAGCAAAGGAAAAGCTGCTCCCTAATCATTTTATGGGAAACTTCAATATCAAAAGAGCACAGGAAAAAAAAAAAAGAGCACAGGATTATTGAGCAAAGAGGTCTCTAACCGCGGTGTGGACATGCAGGAAAGGGGACAGTCCCTCGGGGGTCATAAGCAGCTCTACACTCTCTTCCCACACGAAGGGAAATGGGCACAGCCACTGCCAGCTGTTTCCTGTTGCATTTGGAGACTTTTCCCGAGGATCGCCTATAGTACGAGGACAGGCTGTATCTGCCTCCGTGTCCAAAAGAGACTAGAAATTATTTTCATTGTAGTTTTCTCGTTGATGTAATTAGTCGTTGAGAGGACTGTTAAAGAACAGATCTTCAGAGCCTGGTCCCCTTGAGTTAAACAACGTTCACTCGCTGTGAACAGTCCTGGGGCACGTCCAGGCACGGACCATTTAGCTGTGGCTGCAGAAAGACCCGGTCGCAGGCCAGAAGGGGTGAAGAGGCTGTAAGGAACTTGTAGAATGGGATGCGAGGTATTTCAAGGCCAAGCAATCATGGTATTCTCAGCAGGCAACCAGGAGAAGACCATCTGCGGACAGCTGGCCCCGGGCTGGCCATCGGAGGGGTATGCCCAGGCTCCGAGAGATGATGTTAAGTGGACAAAACCTCATTTCGGAGGGCCTAGGTCAGCAAAAGTGGGGCCAGAAGAAAAGTATAATGAGCACAGCTAAGACCTGAGGTCAGGGTGCGGCCAGCGATGGCCAGCTGCTTCGAGGGGACAAAGGGACTCATTTCTTGGGAGCCGAACTGCCCCAATATTCCAGGCTCTGCCCTCAGGGAGCACAAACGCAATGATGTTCACACCCTTGCTTGAATCTCAATGGCTTCTAACCACCTCTGCTCACACCCAGGACCTCAGCAACCCACCCCCCTTCCTTCCTGGGGCCCCACTGATTATGCACCTGGAAGCAGCCCCTTCCGGCTAGCATTTCAAGGGAGGGAATGTGCAGCTGTCCTACTAGAGTCCTCCCCCAAATCCTGTGGATGCAAGCCCCATTAGCTTTGGGAGCTAGGTTCTCGGGAGCCCAGCCCTCAACTGGAAATCTTAAGAGCTGGAGTGCTATGCGTGGTCCTCAGGGAGAAGCTGGAAGTTGAGGACTCCTGCCTGACGGTGTGATGCTGTGCCAGGGGGAGAGAGAGTGACCTTCAGTGTGGTGGTTTTCTCCTTGCCTAAACTGTAGGAGTCACTCAGCTGGTTTGAGATTTCTTTCGGAGGGAACTGCTCTGTGTGTGGTTGTAGAATCAGTGTCTCCATGGGAGGAGGAAGTTCAGGAGCCTACCTGTGTCGCCATCGTGGTGGCAAAAAGCAAAACAGAACAACTTTTTAATTTTTTTATTTTTATTTTTATTTATTTATTATTATTATTATTATTATTATTTTCTTTTTAAATTTTTTAATTAAGAAAAGAAAGCCACTCATGGTGACCTCGACTAGAAGATACAGCTCTTCAAGAACCAGTATCAACTATTTCTGGGCCAACTGCCTCGTAACCTTAAGTTAATCAAGCTTTAAGGAAGAATGTGGAATCATTTCTGATTCTATGCACTATGCGGCTTCCGCCAGGATCAGCTCGAGACCTCATTACAAGTTACATTAAGGTTCTTTCCGGTTGTAATATTGTCAGCAAGGAGCACAGCCAACCTAACCAAGACCACTTAGGGGTGTAGCATGGGAGGGATGAATATAATTCGTCTTTTTTCCCTTTGCTAGGTGCAGATGAATTACAGTTCCCAGAGAACGATTCCATTTTGCTTAAAATAGAATCAAATTTTCCGTCCAAGTCTTCTATGAATAGAGGCAATTTGACTTGCTGTTAGGACAGAGCTTTGGAATCTGGTGGGGACCTAGTACCTTTGATTCTCTGCAAGGCATCACTCAGCTTGTGCTCTCAGGACTTAGTTTTTTCCTCCATAAAACGGGGATGAAAAAATACTCGTTTACTTCTGGAGATTTTAGGGGAATCACCTAAAACCATTTTTTTTTTAACCGCTGAGGAACTCAAGTGGAAGGCAATGAATATGTAAGAATTTTGGGGAAGAAAGCCTATTAATATAAACCGTGTTCCTTTCTGGGTTCTTTAGAGAAGACATGCAAGGCATTTTAGGGTTAGAATCAGGGCCATCTCAAGATCTGTGTTTTGGAAAAGAGCTTGAATTCATTCCTACCACCACTGGCGGCTCACGTGGAAGAGAGTGATTCTTGGCCCTGATCTAGGTTGAAACAATTTTTGAGTCTTATCTTGGAAGACTCCTTCGACATGAAAAGACACTAAGTTTTTATGTAATTCTTATATTATTTTTATAAGAAGAGGTTGGGCATTTGCCTCCAGATGAAAGCATACTACTTTGGTGTATAGTTTTCTCATAAAATAACCCGTGTCTTTATTTTTTCCTGCAGACAAAACTGTGTGGAGTTTTACCCCATATTTCTGGTTGCATTGTGGATGGCTGGATGGTATTTCAATCAAGGTAATTTATTTATTTTTATTCTTTTTTTTTAAAGATTTTATTTATTTATTCATGAGAGAGAGAGAGAGAGAGAGAGAGAGAGAGAGAGAGAGAGAGGCAGAGACACAGGCAGAGGGAGAAGCAGGCTCCATGCAGGGAACTTGATGTGGGACTTGATCCTGGGTCTCCAGGATCATGCTCTGGGCTGAAGGTGGTGCTAAACCACTGAGCCACCCGGGCTGCCCAATCAAGGTAATTTAAAAATACGGTCCACTCTGTTCTAATAATGACTGTGGTTCTTAGAACCCTGAAAGAACAGATGTGCAGCCATACATGTACTGATCCCAGAAATTGTTTTAAACGAAATTATCCATGGGTGCCTGGGTGGCTAAGTGGTTAAGCAACTGCCTTTGGCTCAGGTCATGATCCCAGGGTCCTGGGATCGAGTCCTGCATCAGGCTCCCTGCATGGAGCCTGCTTCTCCCTCTGCCTGTGTCTCTGCCTCTCTCTTTCTCTGTCTCTCATGAATGAATGAATAAAATCTTAAAAAAAAATCTATGTTTGTGTGCATCAAAGAGTACTGCTCCGCAGGTAAGCTAACTTTGGCTTCACTTCAATTTAATTCAGTAATCAAACAAAAAACAAAAAAAACCAAAAACTTGGAACAAACTGTATGCTGGGCCTTCCTGGATGGAAATGACATGAGCTCTGTCTTCAAATCTGATACCTTCGTTCTGGTTTATCTGCAACAATTCACTCTAATTATCACAGCTGTTATTTATTGAACATTCATTATGTGCCAGGTCATGTTTTAGATTTTGTTTTAAAGATTTATTTATTTATGATAGACATAGAGAGAGAGAGGCAGAGACACAGGAGGAGGGAGAAGCAGGCTCCATGCAGGGAGCCTGACGCGGGACTCGATCCCGGGACTCCAGGACTGCGCCCTGGGCCAAAGGCAGGCACCAAACCACTGAGCCACCCAGGGATCCCCATGTTTTAGATTTTTGAACCTCTCCACCATATCGGGTATATAAGACTAAAAACCTTCTTATGAGGTAGGTTCTATAATTAATGCGTACTTTACAGGGGAGGAAAGTAAATCACGGGGTAAGTCATTTGTCCACCTTAACTTTCTTGAGTGTAGGAGAAAATTGGCTCTCAAGTACAGGCAGGGTCTGTAAGCGTCTTCCCAATAACACACGCACCTTCTCTTGAGTTTGCAACTCTGTAGGCCTCTACCTTCTGTTTGGCTGGGGATATCCTCGGTGAGCGGAAGGCGTCCCCCCTTCTTCAACAGGGGGGCGGAGCAGCCCCAGCTACCCTAGTTGGACAAATTCAGTCTCTCTTGCTTTCTGACTTACCTCACCTCTGACGACTGGTTGCTACGATTTCAATAAACCCCAGTCCTGCTGCTTTCAAAGGCAGCCCCATCCTTGTCTTCGTGTAATTTTTACTGTCAACTGAGGGATCTCAGATGAAATGTCCTTCAGAGAGAGACTGCCTAACTCTAGTCCAGCTCATGTTTTTGTTCCCTGAGGGCATGAACGGAGACTGTTGTTCCTTGTCAGGCGAGGCGGCCTTTTACAGCTAATCAGAAAAGTGCCTTTGAGGATGGGGCTCCGGCTCTGCTATTTGACCCTCTGGATTTCACTGTGATGGGCTGAATAAGGCGGCTCCAACCGTCAGAAAAGGATTTTTTGTCATAATTTTCCATTCTTTCCCATGAAAAATTAAGTTACCTGTTAATTGGCCTGAAGAGGTCTCATTGGCTTCGTGGGAGTTAAGCCATTAGACGGGGTGTTTCGAACGTGCACCCTGCTCAGGATCTCAGGAAGGGGTTTTGTTTTTTTACGTTTTTTTTTCTATATTTATTTATTTGGGAGAGTGAGAGCAAGCAAATAGGGGAAGGAGCCCAGGGAAAGAGATAAGTCATTAGACGTGCTGAGTGTGGAGTTCAATATGGGGCTCGACCTTGTGACCTTGAGATCATGGCCTGAGCCGAAACCAAGAGCTGGTTGCTTAACCGACTGAGCCACCCAGATGCCCCTAGAAAGTCTTCTTATGCCCCTGCTTGCCAGACACCTTCAGGGGCAAACACTATTCTGGTCTTTTTCATCACAGTTTAGTTTTGCCCGTTCTAGAACTTTACATAGTTGGAATCATACAGTATGTACTCTTGGGCAACGCCGTATTCACTCAGCAAGATGTTGAGACTCACCATGTTGTTGCAAGTGCCCATGTCTTTTCATTGCCGAGCGCTGTCCTGTAGGATGATTATCTCAGTTTGGTCATCCACTCTCCTGTTGGTAGGTTTGCGGGCTCTTTCCATTTTTCCCATTATGAATAAAGCTGCAATGGACGTTCTGTACAAGTCTTATTATGGACTCATGCTTTCATTTCTTTTGGGTAAATAGGTAGGCATGGGATTGCCGGGTCAAAAGTATGCTTAGCTCCATCAGAAACTACCAGAACTTTTCCCCGAGTGGCTGTACTATTTTGCATTCCCCCTAATAACATATGGGCATTCCAACACTGCCAAAATTTTGTGTTGTTGGTCTGTCTAAATTTTAGCCATTGCAGGGGGTATGCAGTGGTGTCATCTCGTTGTGGTCTTTTTTTTTTTTTTAAAGATTTTATTTATTTATTTACAACAGACACGGAGAGAGAGAGAGAGAGAGAGAGAGAGAGAGAGAGAGAGAGAGAGAGAGACAGGCAGAGGGAGAAGCAGGCTCCATGCAGGAATCCTGACATGGGACTCGATCCTGGGTCTCCAGGATCACACCCCGGGCTGAAGGCGGTGCTAAGTCACTGGGCCACCGGGGCTGCCCTCATCGTGGTCTTAAGATGCAGTTTGCCAATACTGACTGCAGTTAAATAATGTTGAAAAAACTCTCGTGTGCTTATGGGTCCATTGCTCATCTTTCTGCATTAATTATCTATTCAAATATTTTGCCCATTAAAAGAATTAAGTTGTTTTCTTTTCACGATTGAATTGTTGGAGCTGTTTGGGTATTCAGGACACGTGCATGTTCTGCAAGCATTTTCTGTTTTCATGCATTTTGAGAGCCCGCCATCATATTCCGTGTCTTCTCTATTTTCTCTCTAGTTTTTGCTACTTGTCTCGGTCTGGTGTACATATACGCTCGTCACCAGTATTTCTGGGGATATTCAGAAGCAGCTAAGAAAAGGTAAGGAGAACCTACAAATTGGGTGTTTAGGCAAAGAGTAGCAGGATGGAGTCTGACTTAGGTGTGTGCATGTTCCCGAAGGCCGCGATGGCATGAGTGGCCTGTGTGCCATGCACAGCCAGGTGTGAGACGGGAGCCTCAAGTGCAAACTATGCCCTGGTTGTGCGCTCATGGCCGCCATACTTTAAATTCTTGCAAGAATTGTGCACTATCTCCAAAAAGTTGCAAAGCAAACGATCCTGCCCAGTCTTGATTATCCTTTGAATGTTCAAAGGAGTCAATTAACCTCTGTGGCTAGGCATCCTCTTCAACTTATGTGATGAATCAAGATTTCCAAATGGCAAAAGCATAGAGGTCCAGCCTATCTCAGGACACCTCCCTTCGTCCCTGCAGCTGGTTATCACCTCTCTGCCACATGTCTGTCCTGCAGGATCACCGGTTTCCGGCTGAGTCTGGGGTGTCTGGCCTTGCTGACAGTCCTGGGAGCCCTGGGGATTGCAAACAGCTTTCTGGATGAATACCTGGACCTCAATGTCGTCAAGAAACTGAGACACTTCTAATGTTCCCCCTCCCTTTGCCCAAAGGCTTGCAGAAGCTATTTCCACTCTGAAGGTTATATGGGGTCACTTGATAAATTTTTAAAAAGAAAAGTCTTTACTTTGTTTTTCTTGAAATGGCTTTGTAGGAACATACCCTGTAGAGAAGACATTTCTTGCTTAAGAATTAAAGTCGGCTATGAGGGGATGGAGCCGTACCCTCAGTGGAAGTGCACAGAGCCCTGGATTTGAAGTGCATGCTGAAGTCATGATTGCTTAGGTGGGGAATAAGTGAGCTGGGCTTCCTGTGGGACCACCATGGTCACCCGCCCCTAAGACCACTTCTCCCCTGACGGATGCTAATAAGGAGCCAAGCTCACTTTATTGGTGGTAGGAAAGCAACAGATGGCTGCGTGTGGGGGAAGTCAGGCAGATGTGTGGAGTAGCCAGAGAAGAGCCATCGACTAATAGCACAAAACGAATCTGGAATAGCACAAAACGAATCTGGTTGCGGAATGTTCTTGATAAAGAAAAAAGGAAAAGCAAAAAAAAAAAAAGCCTATCATTTTTTTCTTTTTCTTTTTTTAAGGCCTATCATTTTTAAGGAACCATCCAGAAACTATGTGTAGTGAATGTCCTCGCCCCTGGCCAGGGGAAGGCAGGTCATGGTCCCAGCTGGAGCGAGGATGCTGGCCATCCAGTGTCACATGGGACTTGGGGCCCGCAGCTGTTGTGACACAGAGATGCAGTCACTGTGTGGCACGGTGCAAATGACCCTTCTTTACTTTCCTCATCTGTAAAGTGGGAATGAGTTCACCTCACAGTCTTCAGGGACTTTAGGAAATTGGGAATTATGAGCACATAGGAAACATTTTAACATCAGGAAAAGGGCTCTTTGTCAATTCTTCTAAAGCAATGTGGACAGCCTTGAAGCTGTTGCGGGCATCTTCAAGACGCTGTCTATTGGGACTTTTCTTTTTTTGTGTGGCTACAGAGGAAGTTTTAAAGACGATGAATAACAGAAAATGAAATAAAGGCATTTAAAAACTAGTGTCTCCAGAATAGGGGGGAAGATAGGACAAGCCCTTGCCTCCCAAAGAGCAGTGCTAAATATTCCAAATGCCCTGAGAACATCGTGGTCTGGGAATGGGGATATCAGGTTCCCCTATTCACTGGCTGTTTGCCTGGCATAAGGCACCTTATCAATGGGGGGGGGGTGTAGTGAAGAAGTGAAGACCAGAGCCAGACCACACTAGTCCTCTTCTAGCACTTGCTGGCCATGCTGCTGTGGCACTCTGGCTCTCTGCCTCTGCTTTCCCTGGGCAAAATGGGGCTGTTGCTCACTCTAAAATGCTGTGTCTCTTTCTTTCTTTCTTTCTTTCTTTCTTTCTTTCTTTCTTTCTTTCTATCTTTCTTTCTTCTTTCTTTTCTTTCTTTCTTTCTTTCTTTCTTTTCTTTCTTTCTTTCTTTTTCTTTCTTTTTTTAAGATTTTATTTATTCATGAGAGACAGAGAGAGAGAGAGAGAGAGAGAGAGAGAGAGAGAGAGGCAGAGACACAGGCAGAGGGAGAAGCAGGCTCCATGCGGGGAGCCTGATGCGGGACTCGATCCCAATACCTGGGAGCACAACCTGAGCCAAAGGCAGATGCTCAACCACTGAGCACCCGGGTGCCCCAAATGCTGTGTTTCTATGGTCCTTTTTACTTTTTTTGTATTCTGATCAGTTCTGGTGACTTGACACTTTAATTGTTTTACACGCGGAAGACAGGAAGAAAGAGTGCAAATGTTTGACCCTCAAGAACAATTACTGCATAATCATATCCGTAGGAAATGGGGGCAACACACAACTGCCCCAATCCTACACTTTAAGATCTATAAACAATTTCTATTTTGCATCTGAATTGGAGCTATTTAAAAAGCTAAACTACAGGGGTGCCTGGGTGTCTCAGGGGGCCAAGGTCAAGCATCTACCTTCCACTCAGGTCATGGCCCCCGGGGTCCTGGGCTTGAGCCCCAAGTCAGCTCCCTGCTCAGCCCGGAGTCTGCTTATCCCTCTCCCTCAGACACTCCCTCTGCTTATGCTCTTCTCTCAAATAAATAAAATCTTAAAAAAATAAAAGGGTAAACTACAAATTCGTACACACAGAATTTAGCTGAAAACTTGTGGAAAAAGATGGGTGCAGTAGGATATCAGAGCTTTGTATCCGTAGACATCTGAACCATAAAATTTATTTCCTTTGTTCTAATTCTATTGTCCCCAAGGCAACCTCTTGATTATTTTAATTCCTATAAATTTGGCTACAAGGAGGAAACACGCTGGCCTGAGAGATGTGACTTTCCGATCTGAGAGTTATATATATATATGTTTTGTATATTAATGAGTTCATGGGGTTTATTTTTAGAAATCAGGTTGTCTCAAGAAAATGTTATGAAGAAAGGGATGGAGAACTATTCTATATTAAAAAGAGTCTTAAGAGGCATAAAAACCAAATGGCAATATGAGATCCTTGATCAAATCCTGGTTGGAAAAAAAAACAAACAACAACAACAACAACAACAACAAAAACCCAGCTGTGGAAGACATTTGGGAGACAATTGGGACAATCTGAATATAAAGTGAGAATTAGATGATATTAGGGAATTAATGTTAATTGTGTGAGGTGTGATAACGATCTTGTAGCTAAGGAAGAGAATGTCCTAAGTCTTGGGAGCTGCTTGTTGAGGGGTTGAGGGGTGAAGTAGCTGAATGGGTATAACTTATTTGAAATGGTTCTGCAGAGTATGTATGTAAAGCACATATGGCAAAGTATTAGTTCCTAAACTGAGGCAGGTGTGTGGTTATTCATCGTACTGTCTACTTTTCTGTCCGATAGAATGTTCATAATGAAAAGTTTAAAGATCATTTCTAAGAAGTTAAAACCTAAAATCAGATTTTTGGTTTCAGCTCTGAAGGTTTTTTTTTTTTTTTTTTTTTAAATTGAGCACTACATGCTTGCTTTGGGATCTGTGAGACTGATGGGGCCGCAGCATGAGCGGTGGTCTAGCAGCTGTCCGGGGCACGGCGGGGTCACTTGGGCCCCACTTGTGTGGATGCTGCCATAATTGCCTCCACCTGTTGCATGAAATCAGACAGGTTGTGGTAGCTTGCCCAGGAGACACCAGAGTGGGAGTCAGATGTCCTTGGAACTTAAAAAGAGACCAGAGGACAAAACTGAAGAGAGAAGAGGGGGAAAAAAAATAAAATGATACAGGGCCGGGCATACAAACAAGTAGCCCTGTTCCCTTCCCAGGCACTTCCCCTCCCCCTTTACAGGGTTGGAGGTGGGTGCAGTATTTGTTAATACGGAAAAATACCAGGTCATTTTTTTTTTTGCTCTTTGTCTCCAATTTTCCTTGAAAAGAATGGTCACAGTCTCCTCAGGTGAGAGAGCTCACCTGATGCTTCTGGGCGCTCCTTAACTTTCAGCACTAAAATACATCTTTCTCACTGGGACAGATGCTTCGTGGCTTCCTGGGTAGATGTCTACTTTCTGCTTCTTCCCTCTTCACACACTTACCGCACTGGGATTTGGGGATTGTAAATAGGTCCCTAAGATTACCTACCAGGAGTCGTGCCGAAGGAGAAGGGGCTGCCGTTCGTCCAGTGCACAACACGCTTTCGTGTGAATGAAAACGTGTGGTTTTAGTTACTCGGGACTAGGCTAAGTACTGCACTCTTACTTCTGTTTATCAGCCTTCCCACCCTCCTGCCCCTACCGCCTGAATCCGTTCATCCTTCAACCTCCTGTTACCTGCAGGAGTGCTGAGCCTTATCACTGGCACAGAGCCTGGCGTCCCACTGTTCCCTCCAGCCCGTTAGGTGCCAGCCGGCCAGGAACCCCAGGCCCCTGGGGGGAGGGCCGGCTTCTTCGTCCACTCCAGTCTTCGTCTTGGTTGGTACGTATTAAAACTCACCTTTGTTTTGGGTCTGTTTTTTTTTTTTTAAGATCTTATTTATTTATTCATGAGAGACACACACACACACACACAAAGAGAGAGAGAGAGAGAGAGAGAGAGGCAGAGACACAGGCAGAGGGAGAAGCAGGCCCCATGCACCGGGAGCCCGACGTGGGATTCGATCCCAGGGCTCCAGGATCATGCCCTGGGCCAAAGGCAGGTGCTAAACCGCTGAGCCACTCAGGGATCCCTGTTTTGGGTCTGTTTTTTTTTTAATAAATTAATTTTTATTGGTGTTTAATTTACCAACATACAGAATAACACCCTTGGGTCTGTTTTTGATGATGATTTTATTCCGTGCTTGTGGCCTATTTTGCTGCTTAACCCAGATGGTTTTGAATCGTGTCGTTTGACTATGCTTTTTCCAGTTCGATGGGAAGTCTTAGGTCAAGTCTCCTAGAAGGCGAGGGGTGGAGTCATATGTGTGTGATTCACCAACGGAGGGCCCCCAGGAGGGTAATCAGAACAGAGTGGGGAAGGGCGAGAAGCCAGGTAAGGGGCAACTAGAGGCAAAGTCCCAGCCTTTGCCCGATCCCACAGGGGGGCTCTAGAACCTACATCCTACCTTGGAGCTCATCCAGGCCACCTGACCCCGTCCTCACACTCCGGCACTAGTGGGTCACTGACTCCCGTGGATCTGGAGAAATGTACACTTCTTACCATCCCCGATAACCTGTAGATGGTGCAGGCAAAGCCGGGCCTGGGCCCAGGGCGGTCCTCCGGAGAGAGATGAGGCCAGGGCTGGTGGAAATGAGGTGTCCATGGGGTGTGTGCGTGGATGTGTGCACAGGCGGTGTCCACTATAGTGGGACAAGGCCCCTGTGTTACTTTCCCTTCCATATATTCCTTGAGGTTTCTTCCTTCTTTCTTCCATTTATTTTTTAAAGATTTTTCATTTATTCATGAGAGACAGAGGCAGAGACATAGAGGGAGAAGCAGGTTCCCTGCGGGTAGCCGGATGCGGGACTTGATCCCTGGAACCGGGATCACACCCTGAGTTGAAGGCAGATGCTCAACCACTGAGCCACCCAGGCAACCCTTTTTTTATTTTATTTTATTTTTTTTTCCCGGATTCCATGATTTTTTTTTTATTAATTTTTATTGGTGTTCAATTTACCAACATACAGAATAACACCCAGTGCTCATCCCGACCAGTGTCCCCCTCAGTGCCCGTCACCCATTCACCCCCACCCCCCGCCCTCCTCCCCTTCCACCACCCCTAGTTCATTTCCCAGAGTTAGAAGTCTTTATGTTCTGTGTCCCTTTCTGAAATCTCCCACACATTTCTTCTCCCTTCCCTTATATTCCCCTTCACTATTATTCATATTCCCCAAATGAGTGAGAACATACACTGTTTGTCCTTCTCCGATTGACTTACTTCACTCAGCATAATACCCTCCAGTTCCATCCACGTTGAAGCAAATGGTGGGTATTTGTCGTTTCTAATGGCTGAGGAATATTCCATTGTATGCATAGACCACATCTTCTTTATCCATCATCTTTCGATGGGCACCGAGGCTCCTTCCACAGTTTGGCTATTGTGGACATGGCTGCTAGAAACATCGGGTGCAGGTGTCCCAGCGTTTCATTGCATCTGAATCTTTGGGGTAAATCCCCAACAGTGCAATTGCTGGGTCGTAGGGCAGGTCTATTTTTAACTCTTTGAGGAACCTCCACACAGTTTTCCAGAGTGGCTGCCCCAGTTCACATTCCCACCAACAGTGTAAGAGGGTTCCCTTTTCTCCGCATCCTCTCCAACATTTGTGGTTTCCTGCCTTGTTAATGTTCCCCATTCTCACTGGTGTGAGGTGGGATCTCATTGTGGTTTTGATTTGTATTTCCCTGATGGCAAGTGATGCGGAGCATTTTCTCATGTGCGTGTTGGCCATGTCTATGTCTTCCTCTGTGAGATTTCTCTTCATGTCTTTTGCCCATTCCATGATTGGATTGTTTGTTTCTTTGCTGTTGAGTTTAATAAGTTCTTTATAGATCTTGGAAACTAGCCCTTTATCTGATACGTCATTTGCAAATATCTTCTCCCATTCTGTAGGTTGTCTTTGAGTTTTGTTGACTGTATCCTTTGCTGTGCAAAAGCTTCTTATCTTGATGAAGTCCCAATAGTTCATTTTTGCTTTTGTTTCTTTTGCTTTCGTGGATGTATCTTGCAAGAAGTTACCGTGGCCAAGTTCAAAAAGGGTGTTGCCTGAGTTCTCCTCTAGGTTTTTGATGGAATCTTGTCTCACATTTAGATCTTTCATCCATTTTGAGTTTATCTTTGTGTATGGTGCAAGAGAGTGGTCTAGTTTCATTCTTCTGCATGTGGATGTCCAATTTTCCCAGCACCATTTATTGAAGAGACTGCAACCCTTTTTTTAAATGAAAATTTTATTAATTTTCTAAATCCTCTGAATGAACCAGTTGAAAACTGAATTGTGGGGATCCCTGGGTGGCTCAGCGGTTTAGTGCCTGCCTTTGGCCCAGGGTGTGACCTTGGAGTCCCGGGATCGAGTCCCACATCGGGCTCCCTGCATGGAGCCTGCTTCTCCCTCTGCCTGGGTCTCTGCCTCTCCATCTGTGTCTCTCATGAATAAATAAATAAAATCTTAAAGAAAAACTGAGTTGTTTCAGCACGAATCTACAAATGGGACTTCAGTAGGTTCCTTTCAACGCTAACTTTTCTCTTCCCTTTGCTACATCCCTTGGGGTGCAAAGTTTGAAAGTTTTAGTTGTGTGGTTGAATTAAAGTGACTGGAAATGATTGATCTCCATTGTTCAATAAAGGTTTTATGATATCAAGAATTTTGAGACAAGAACTGCAGTTAATCAACTAAAACCCAGGCATTGTATATCTGTTGAGTTTAGGTGGGAGATCCGGTGACAATCCTAAAATAAACTATGCTTTGGGTTGATTCAGATAATGATCTTTTATTTGTTTTCTTTTCTTTAAAAGTGGTATGTCAACATCACTTCATTTCTACATTTCAGAGTTCTGTACATTTCTTAAAAGGAAATAAGCAATGCTCAATGTACAAAGTAAAAACAGAAAACTAGAAAAATCTGAATAAAATGGAGCAAGTTGCCATAGGTCATACAGTACAAATTAGTCATTAGATGTCATCTGAAGTGCAATATACCACTGCTGTGATGATGAGTTAAGGAATGAAATAAAAATACTCTATTTTAAACAAACAGTATATATATATTTATATGTATATTTTTTTACAGATAGTAGACCCAGTGATATCTGCAGTATTGTAAAAACTTATTTACAAATAACTTTTTTTTAGACATTACATATACATCAGCACCGTAGTAAAAACAAAAACAAAAACAAAACAAAACGACCTTATGAAAGTCTACCTCTCTATTGAGTTGGTCCCAGTACTAAGCATTTGGAGGAAGCTATTAAAAGGTAATGGAGCCCCCCGCACCCCCTCAGCCACCTCCAGTTTCTCATCATTGCTTCTATGTTTCCTGTACCTTTCAGATAAAGGTAATGGTTTTCTGTCTTCTTGCTCGTTTACTTCGTTTGTTTGTTTTTTTGGTTTTTATCTGTTTCTACTCGAGACTTTCCATGGCGGGGTGTCCCTCCCAGGCGAGGAGGTTGTGGTCAGCTGCCACCACCTGTTCCTAGGAGGAGCAGAGTCCGGGTCTGGGCCTCCTCTGCTCTCCAGCCCGCCCTGGCTCGGTGCATCCACCGCCTCGACGTGCGAGCAAAGCCAGCGGCAGTGTGTGCACCCCACCTTCCATGGAGCCCCCGCCTCAGCCCCCCTTGAGTGGGCCCCAGAGGGAGCCAGGCTTTGGGACACGCAGGGAGCGAGGATGTGGTGGGGGCCGAGCGCTGGCCCCACCCCGTTCTCTAGACGAGGATGAGGCCACAAGGCCTGCAGAGGCCACGAGGGCCTCAGGCTCCGGAGCCCAGGCTGCCCAAGCCTCGCACAGGCCTTGCCGGGCAACGGAAGAGAGTCACAGAGAGGACACCTGTACGGGCTCTTGGAGCGGAGGACTTTGCCCCCGTGGAAGGAGCCGTCTCTTCCTCCTGTTTATTGTCCAGACGTGTCAGGTGGAGCAAGTGACTTTGCAGTTCCTTGTCCCCCAGTGTTCTGGGTTGGCCTTTCTGGCGAGGCCAGCTTCCCAGCATCGCCCCTGGGCTGCATCCACGGGGGGCCAGCGTGGGCGCCCCTGGGCGGGCCTCACGGGGGCTCACAGCAGCTCACCGGGGAGCTCAGAGGGCCTGCCCACCGGGCCGGAGAGCTGCCCCCCAGCCACCGTCGGGGGGACGACTCCAGTGCCGTCTTCGCATCCCAGGCCTCATCGAAGTTCCCGCATCCGTTCTGTTCCAGGCCCCCCAACGCAAAAGCTTCGTTTGCCAGCGTCTGCATGGACCAGCCGGGGCAGGATGGGGCGGAGGCCCGAAGCGCTGGGGCAGGGCTGCAGGGGAGGCGGGACGGCCTCGGCGCACCTGCGAGACACGGCCCCCTGCTCTGGGGTGCCCCCCTCCCCCCGGGTCCGTGTGAGGGGCTCCTGAGGGCCAGCACCGGGCAGCAGCCAGGCCTCCCGGGACCTGTCCCCGGCCTCGGTTGACGCCCCCATACGGTGAGTCCTGGTGCCTGACTCTGACCGGCGTGCTTGCAAGTGCAAACCTGCGGCCTCGGCTCCGGGAGGGCCGGCCTCCTGCCCCACCTGCCTCACCTGCCTCCACCTGGGCCGGGCAGCTCTGGGAGGGCCGGTCTCCTGCCCCACCTGCCCCACCTACCCCATCTGCCTCTACCTGGGGCTGGGCAGCTCCAGGAGTGTTGGCCTCCTGCCCCTCCTGCCGCTCCTGCCGCACCTGCCTCCACCGCGTCTCCCTCTGTGCGGCGGGCCCGGCGCATTGGCCCGATGGCCGCGGGGAGCGGGGGGAGCAGGCCCGGGGCCCAGCGCGGCACCCGGCGCTCTCCGGGTCGGCCGGCTGCAGTTCTGCTCAGTTTACGGGGTCGACGAAACAAAACCGGGGCCGGCTCGACAGCCTGTTTCCCTGTCACGCGCGGGCTCCTGGGGCTCCCCGGCTAGGGGTTCCCGAACAGCTCGTCGAGCTCCTGCATCCACTCATCCCCCGGCCCCGCTTTGATGATGGAGTCCACGAGGTCCGCGCCGTCGGGGAGCCCGGGGAACGGAGCGGTGGCCGCGTCGCCGCCGAAGCCGTAGGGCCCGTCCTGCGGGGGGTTCCGCTCGTAGGCCTGGCCCGGGCCGAAGCCGCCGCTGGGCACCTGCTGCGGCGCCGGGGGCGGGCCGAATGGCGGCAGCCCGGGCACCCCCTGGCCCAGGCCAGACAGGAGCATCGGCCTGGCCTGGCCGCCGCCCTGCTGCCCCGGGAGCGCGGGCATCACCTGCCGACCCGCGGCCGCCGGGGCGAGGGGCCTGGGGGCACCCGCGGCCGCGTCCACCACAGGGCCCAGCGCCTGCGGGAAGTGCTGCTTGCTCAGCCGCGGCTGGCCAGCCTGCAGCGGGTAGCCGGCGCCGTTGTTGAAGGAGCCCAGGTCCCCACTAGTCCTCCCGGGCACCCCCTGCAAGCTCCTCTGCTGCCAGCTCTGCGTCCCCTGCTGGACGGTCCCCAGGATGCCCTGCAGCCGGGGCGGGCCCTGGGGCCTCGGCAGGGCCTGGCTCACCGGCCCCTTCATCTGCGGGTGCTGCTGGGCGATGGCCGAGTTCACCAGCATGCTCTGCCCAAAACCACTCACCATGCCCACCCCTGGCCCGGAGGCGGGCGGCCTTGTCCCCTGGGCTTGGCTGTGTGCGATGCCCATGCCACTTTGGTTTGGGTGCTGCAACATTTGGGTCATTCCTGTGCTCATGTTGTACATTCCCGGCTGGCTGGTAGGCGGGTTGCTGTAAGGGGCCAGTCCCATCTCCGACTGGGCTGGGGCCGTGCCCATGGTCCCCGGGTTCTGCGAGGGCCCCATGCCCATCATGCCTGCGTTCTGTGCCATCAACCGCGACGTTCGAATGCTCTGGAGGGCTGCCTGGCTTCTCACGGCTGCTATATCCTGGGGAGAACCTACAGGGGAGAGTAAGACATACCCGTTCACTCCTCGCCATCAACAACTTACGTGTTGTTGGGATCGTCTTCAGGCATGACAAATACTTCCACGTGAAAGGGTCTACTCTGATGATAAGTCCTTAGTAAGCAACAGTCATTCTTCTATAACATACGGTGATCGTAAAAAAAATTCAGAAACTATCAAAAAGTACAGAGATGAAAACTGAAGTTACCTGACCCCCCGCCCCCAGAGGTAACCACTGCTAACTCCTATAAACAGACACGCGAAAATAGAGATCGTACGGGACCCACGCTTTTGTAGTTGGCTTGATGTACTCTGCTATTATTGTTCACGTCTGAGAAGCAAATTGTTTCTCACTCATCTTGCTATGGTGCCCTCCTCAACCAATCAGATCCCATTATTCTTGGAGGTGAGAGGGAATTCACCTCCTGGGCTAGATTAAGAAGAAACGGCTGACCACTTTGTGTCTTCTGTTTGTGAAGCGGAACATGGTTCAGTAGAGAATACTATCAATAAAGAGCATTACACTAATTTCCCTTCAGACTCGAGCAGGATTTGAGAGGTTAAAGGCCACCGCTTCTGCTAAGAAGCTGTTTCGACAGATGGGACATTTTTTGGATCCACTCTATAGATTTCCACATGCTCCAGATTCTCTGAATCATAACCTGTCCGTGCAAACTGGCCAGCTTCCTGAGCTAGAAAAAGAAATCATCCTGTTCCTTGTTCCTCAGCAGTGAACTTTACCCATTTCTTTTTTTTTTTATTAAGGTTTTATTTATTTATTCATGAAAGACAGAGAAAGAAAGGGAGGCAGGGACAGAGGGAGAAGCAGGCTCCCCGCAGGACAAGGAGCCCGACGTGGGGCTCGATCCCAGGACCCCGAGATCATGACCTGAGCTGAAGGCGGATGCTTCACTGAGCCACCCAGGTGCCCCGACTTTCTGCATTTCTGCAGCCAAGTCCACTCAACTCCTTCAAATAGGCACTATTTCTCTTAGCAGATGGCTAACATGGTTTTAATGATGTTTAAAAGTTGGCCAGAGTATGAATGCCAACTCCCTTAACTCCAATTAGGCATTTCAGGGAGTCCCTCTTTACATGGTCCTAGGAAATTTCCAGATCAGCCAAGAGAATAGAAATGTCACCCTCAGAACTCCAGTCAATGTTGTAAAGGACTAGGAGGTGCACAAAAATGAGTTTTTTTTTTTCTGTGTCCCTGCTAATGATTAAGTCTATGAGACAAAGAAAAATAGTTTTTTTTTTTTTGGACACTTAAAAAAGATGCAGCATGGGAGCCAATCGATATTATAAGCAAATGCGATACTACCTGGAACTGGGTTGAGAAACCAGATGAGAACAGTGTAAGCTTGTTAAGCCTGGCACCTGGGCAGTAAGTGTGTTTCTATCTTCCTGATGGGATTATTGATTTTTGGGCAGCACATATGTCTCCATATTTTCTTTCTTTCTTTAAGAAAGAAAATTATGGGAATTTTCATTATAACTTAAGTTTTTGTGGCTTGAGATCAATATCATGCTGCATTGAGAAATGAAATGGTTTCTGTGGGCAAAGCTGGAAGGGCTGGGGGGAGAGCTCTAGAAATGTTTCAGTTTTCTGTTTTAAGCTTCATTATATCTAAGTGATTTTAAAAAAAAATCAAAAGTTCCTGTTAAACACTGGATGGAAGTCTATATTGCAATTTGTAATCTAGTTACGAAGTTTTGTGACCTTAACGACTAAATCTGTATTGACTGCATGGCCAATCTGATCAACTGTGGTGAAATGGGTTATTGAGTTGTTTATAAAAAAAATTTAAGGAGAAAATATTGCTGACTCAGAGACTGATTGGCTAGACCCAAATTACATAAACAGGCTGATGAGCTGCTGGAAACAAAAAGACTTTCATATTTTGGACATTTTTCTTGTATGTTTATAAAGGCTATGTTGAGGGACTGGAGATGGTCTGGGCTACTTTGGTGAGTGGGATATAGGTGCCTCTCTTCAGAGGACAGAAATGCTGCAATGCCTTTTAAGAGGTATTGAAGCCTTAATCCAAGCCAACCTCTATTTTTAGTATACGATGACTGTCTTATCTAGGTGGAACTCTTAAGAAAAACAAAAGGGGGCATTTTATTTTATTTTATTTATTTATTATTTTATTTTATTTTATTTTATTTTATTTTATTTTATTTTATTTTATTTTATTTTTTTTAAAAGGGGGCATTTTAAAACCAGCAATCAAGGAACTCCTGGGTGGCTCAGTGGTGGAGCCTTTGGCTCAGGTCATGACCCTGGGTCCTGGAATCAGGTCCTGCATCAGGGTCCCTGCATGGAGCCTGCTTCTCCCTTTGCCTGTGTCTCTGCCTCTCTCTCTGTGTCTCTCGTGAATAAAGAAGTAAAATCTTAAAAAAAAAATAAAGAATCTCTAAAACCAGCAATCAGCATCTTATTTTGATCCCAAGGAGAAAGCAAAAACACTTTTATTCATCTAGTTTTATGCTTTTAAAAATATATAGAGAAAAAAATGCAAATGTGCCCAGAGAACTACCTTGTCTTTATCTGATTACTATATATGTTAAATAACAGACTAATTTTTTTTCTTCTTTTATTTTTATCCAAAACAGGTATTATTGTGGGACACTGTACTCAAATTAATTTTCTTGTCCACTGGTTAACGTAACAATGTCAAAGAAAATCCTCCATATTCAAATAGAGATCATGTGCAATTTTTTCTTAAAAGGGTCTGTTTTCCTTTTTCACTCACAGGAAGCCTGTATTTGTGAAAAATAAGCATTTCTCCATAGGCATGTAACATTGCCCAGAGGCATAAAACTCAATAAGAGAAAGATAGTCATTAAACCTTTGAAATGTGTAGTGGTGAGAATGCGTGGAGGTTCTCATGCAAGTTATTCCTTACAGAACTCTCCAAGGACAGTACTTCTTATCTACCAATTTGCTATTTTCCCAGATACATAACATTATGATATCTAAGGTGTTAGTAAAATAAAATAGGGAAGGGAGTAAAAAAAAAAAGAAAAGAAAAGAAAAGAAAAAAGTGTATAAATCAGCTCAGGGACCCTACAATGTCACTGGCTGCTTATATTAAGTACAGCTAAATTTCTAGGTTGATTACCTATGGGGTGGGGTTTTAGAAAAGTTCAGAGTAGAACTTTTAAACTGGACCCAAAGCATACAGAATAATTCGAAATACAGAAGAAGCATTAAATTTCGGTGGGTCCCTTTATTCCAAAAGATAATGAATGAGTTATGAACCTAGAAAGGTCAAGGGACGCTATGCTGGGTTTAGAGGATTTCATTTTTTTAATTAGTTCTTAATAGAAATCATTGGTTTGGGATGCCTGGGTGGCTTAGAGTGGTTGAGCATCTGCCTTCAGCCCAGGAAGTGATTCTAGGGTCCCGGGATCGAGTCCCGCATGGGACCCTCTGCATGGAGCCTGCTTCTCCCTCTGCCTCTCTCTCTCTCTGTGCCTCTCATGAATAAATAAAATCTTTAAAAAAGAAAAAAAGAAAGCAAATGAGATTTAAAAAAAAAAGAAAAAAAAAGCGACCAACCCCAACCCATCCCCAATATTTCTCTTAGAAAAGTCACATCTCGCAGGAGAGATGTGACACAGGGCTGTTCCTCCCACGCTCCCCGAGAGCAGATCTTGAACCAACCAGGGGCCAGTACGTCCTTACTGGCTATCAAACTACGGAAAGACCTCGGTAGGTTTGGTCAAGAATGGCTGCCCCAGCCTAGCCCCCTGCAGCCACTCTGACCCCCATGAGGCCCACCGGGGTCTGTGTGTGACCCAGCCGCCAGAACAGGGAATGCATGGCACAGGAGGGGGCTCCCAAGGTGCATCTTCTGACTGATGGACACCCTCTGCCTTTAAGTATTTTTATTTTTTTATTATTATTCTTTTCCTTTAAGTATTTTTAATATGACCCGAACACAAACCCTGTCCAGAGGGCGATGCCACTGGCGACACAGGCACGTACACTTCACAGCCAGGGGGTACACAATGCAAGGGGTGGGCAGCCTCACCTTGGAACTGATTGACCTGCTGCACTGGGTACGGGCTCCGCTGCTGCTGGAGGTGCTGGCGGGGCAGGTGTGTCTGCTGCAGCTGCTGGAACGACAGACAACGAGGGCAGGGGGGTGACACGGGGAGAGACAATGAAACATCGTGGCAGCGTGGAGGAAGGCCGTGTTAAGGCCCGAAGCGCTGCCGGGAGGCGTGAGGTGCGTCTGGGCAGGTGCACACAGCACGAGGTGGACCGGTTTTCACTAGAGGAACGTGTTCCCGGTGACCAGCACCTGGCTCCAGCCCGCGGGCTGGGCCCAAGCCCCGGATGCCCCTTTGGAGTCTGGACCCAGCCCGGAGGCCCCCAGCCCGCCCCCCCACCCCACGCAGACTGGCCGGGTCTGCCCCACGGGGGTGCTGGGTGCACCGGGCGGCCGTCTGCGCTCTGCTCGCGGTCACTGCCGTGCGGGTCCCTTGGGGAGCACCTGGCACACCTGCTGCTCGTGGGGGGCGGGGACCGTGGGGGTCTCGGCCTGACTCTCCAACAGCCGCCTGCATGCGCCTCCTAGCTCTGTGCCACTCAGCTCAGGGGACAAGCCACTCATTTCTAATGACCTACATAGATGCTTCCAGCACAGGAAGATGGGCTTCTCAGAGGCTATATATATATAAATAAAGGCTTGTCTTATTCCCACGAGGCCACGCTGCCTGTCAAATACGCCTGGGCAAGTACAACACACGGCACCTGGTGCCCTGGGGAAACTGCGGGGGACTCGGCAGGTGCCAGCGGCAGGAGGCTGGCGACCTTGTCTCTGTCCATTGCATGGGGCTTCCTCGCGGCTGCTGCGTGGGGACAGGGGAGGAACCCCGAGCGACGTGGAAAGGGCAGGGGAAAGGGCCTGTCGTCACCCCCTCCGGCCCCCGCGGAACAGTCGCAGGGCACCTGCCATCCGCCCGGGCTGATAAAGACCACGCAGCAAGGTCCTTATCATACACATAACACCCCTGGAGCACTTGGCACCTAACGCCTGTGTTTAGCTCTATTTTTCCCTCTTGTTTTGGTTTCCGGGCAGCTCTGTAATCTTCTTTCTCTTTCTTCTCCCCTTCCCTTTCTCTCCACAAGGCCAGCCGGCTCTCTGGCAACCGAAGAAAAGAAAGGCCTCTGCCCCGCTCACCCCATCCTGCGGTGCCTGCCGTGGCGTTTTGCACAAACTGTGGAAATTGATTAATTGTGTGGATAAAGTGTAGACGAGGAAGCACGTCAGTGTCCTGGGCGGCAAGGGACGGTGAACCGAGCCCTCCAGGGGCCTCTCCTCAGCCTGACTTGTCATATTAGGTGAGCATCTAAGCGTCCCACCGCCCACTGGAAGCAGCAGCCTCGGGGTGGCCCGGGGTGGGGGTCAGGGCTCCGGTTCCAGTCCTGGGCCGTGCCTCCCTAGCTCCGGGAAATCCCACGAGCGCCCTGGCCTCAGTTTCCTCACGGGTAAAATACAAAAGCCCTCACGATCACCAACACCTCTTCCGGGTCTAAAATCCTAGGCTCCGTGGAACCTTCGTGAATGCACGAGGGGTGACACGCTCCGTGCTCTTTGAGAATGAGGGATCAAAACACTTAAGTCACACGGGCTTTGCACGCGCTGTGCCGTGGTTCTGAAGTCCACCAGAGCCGGTTCAGAGCCCCCAGTCCCCCGCTTCGCCCCTCACCCGGCATTCAGGAAGCCCCAGGCTCTCTAGTCGCTGCGCTCCGCAGGCAGGTTACTAGGACACCGGGGCCGCTGGCGCAGCGCCAAGGAAGTCAGCGTGGCATCCGTGTGGCAACAGCGTCCTCAAGACCAAAGACTGACGGCTCAGCACTTGCAGGCCCTGCGACAGGGCCCCATCAGCTGCGCGCCCGGGCAGACGGGCCGAGCACCTGCCTCCCCGCAGCCTCCCAGCCTCCCTTCGGCCCCGTCCCACCGGCCTCGTGGCCACAGCCCTCACGGCACACTCCAGGATCCCGGGGGCACGGGACAGGTCCCCCCACACCTGCGCACGGTCGCCCAAGAATCTTGCATGCCTTAGTCCACGTGATCCTTACCCCGGTCCCAGGACAAAGGCTGGGGACCGATCGAACCTCACCTGGCCCATGAGGAGGGAGGGTCAGAGGTTCTTCCAAAATCCTACATGAGCAAAGGATGGGGCACGTCCTGAGTTACACTGTTCTCCCCTCAGTCCCTCCTCATTGCTTGGTGCCCACAACCTGCTGGGGATGGCACCCGCTTCCCGATCTTTTCCAAGGAGCCCTGTGCCTCTCTGCGTCCTGGTTCAGAGGGGCGCCCTGCTCCCTGAGGTTTGGCTGCCCTTGCGGAGTGGGCCCCCCCCACCCAGCTGGCCTGGCGACCCTGTCCCCTACCTGCCCCTGGGTCATGGCACCCACGGCACAGGCCACGGCTCAGAGCATCAGGCGCGCCCGACCCTCGCTGGATTGGCGGAGGAGAGGCCGTCCAAAGCCCAGCGTCCATTTGTCACTGCCTGAGACATGTGAGCCCGGTGCCTTGTCACACACCTTATGCAGGGTGAGAGGGAGAGAGGTTTGTTTGTACAGGAGCCGCCAGGCGGCTGACCGACCTTGGTAGAGGGGAGATAATTACACAGCTGCTCAGGAACCAAAGTCAAGAAGGGAACATATGGGAACCGGGCTCAGCAGTAGGATTTTTCCTACTTGAGGGATGACTGGTGGTGTTGCTCTGAACTGCAGCTCTCGGTAGGGGCCTTGGCGGGCCTGCGTCCCACGCACTATCCCGTGTGCAGATGGAGACACGGATACAGGCACGTACTGTGTGTATATACGTGTACGTAGCGTACATGTTGTATTTTATGTATTGATAAATTTCCAAAATTCGGATCATATTAGGAATGTTCTGGGAGGGGAACTGGCACGCAGAGCTCTGTTGGGCTCTCAGCCTCATACGACGGCCTCACACCCACCTCCTGTCACCAGTGAGAGCTGCCCTGTGCAGACCCCACGGGAGCCAGCGAGGCATCTCCTGTGGAAGGCCTCAGGCCTTCCCCGGGATGCTAGGGAACCAGGCATGGCCATCTTGAAAAACAAAACACACAGACCTACAGAAGCAGCTCTCAGGGAAGGCTTTCTTTCAAAGCTGGAGGAATTATATGGCAAGGGTGGACAAAGATGCCGAAGGTAAGGCTTTATTTGTATTAGGCCTTCCTTTAACTCAAAGATTTCTTGAGCTGTTTTAAAGCTGTTGGGAATCTTCTTAAGTTTGCACCCTTTCCGTGACCCTGAGTTCAGGTTTCCAGGTAGTTCTGTGAGCCCTATTATTCTTCTATTGTTCCTGTCCCATTGTTCATGACCAATTCTGTAGAATTCTCCTCGATCCCTCCTTCTGACATTTTCCTTCAAGAAGCAAAGTTCTCTGAGTTATTTTCTTTTTCTCTTCGTGCTAGAAATATTAGCGTCTATGAAGAATGTGAGGCAGCCTCCCAGCCCCCATACTGATGGGCGCAGACCCCTGCACCAGAAACCAGAAGAAAAGGAGTCGGGCTTGAATCGAAGAAATGTCTCCGGCAAATGGGCCTTCGCTTGATGGCCAAGGCCTGTCTTTTAAGAACAGACTCATTCGCTCTAAGAAAAAGCCTAAGTAATTGAAAGGTCTACCTTCTGCAGGGTCTTCGGCGATTATGGGAAATGCTGGACTGTGACTATTTTGACAAAGGACATGAACTGCAACTCTCCTGCAGACACCAGGCACTGAATAAATGCTTGCTGAAAAAATGAATCGTGTTACCTGCTCGGCCAGAATCTGCTGCTGCTGCTGCTGCTGCTGTTGCTGTTGCTGCTGCTGCTGCTGCTGTTGCTGCTGCTGCTGCTGCCTTTGCTCCCGCAGGAACTGTTGCTTCTGCTGCTCCATCAACTGGGCCCGCTGGTCAATGAGCATCTGCTTCATGATGGCAGCCTGGGGCTGGCTGCTGAGGAAGCCAGGACCCGCAGGACTGGCTCCGGAGACCATGCCGCCCGAGCCCGGGGGCACCGAGGACTGCATGGAGCCTGTGGTCCGGGGAAGTCCAACTGGGTGCTGCTCCTGGGAGGACAGCAAGACAAGAGAAGGCAAAGATTTCATACTTGAAAGGAAGCATGGGGCAGAGGCCTCGGCTTGTGGACCTGAGGGGTCCCGGGAGGCACACACTCCATTCCACAAAAACAACCCAGTGATCCTCAAATCTGGCCTTGCCACAGCGGAACTGGAGGCCCGCAGGAGGACAGTAATAGAGGATGGCTCCGGGAAATCTGAGAGCAAGTCCAGCCTGTTTGATTAAGGGACAAAGACTGGGCAACCAGCTAACAGTCTGCACTCCTCCAAAGGAGAGAGACCAAGACCCCAGGGTGGGCTCACCTCAAGTCTGGAACGAGAGAGCCTGGCCTTACCTCTTAGCCTTTCCTGCCTCCCTGGCCTAAATGGACTTCTTCTTAGCTAAGTGGAGAGACATTCACAGAATTCTGGAATTTTTAAATCATTAGATCTACTATTCCATGGAATTCTAATTGATTGCAACATTTGAGAGCTTTGCTATATGTAAAAAAAAAAAAATTCCTGCTAGTGGGAGTTGTTGACAGTGAAAACTGGAAATGTGTGTTATTGAACAAAGCTATATAGTCTCCCGACATCTTTAAAAATAGAACTGAGCCTCCTATGTCTGGGACAATTTATAATGTGGGGGTTGACGGGGGTCTTCTGATTTTACAACTGTCTCTCCGTCAAACGATGGGAATTTGTAAGGATTGGTTCTTAAGGAGTAGGAAGTAAAGTGGCAGAGAACTACCCACAGACTAAGTGACTATTTGGAGAGCGTGCTCAGAGGGGAAGCCTATAACAACAGCCAGCCAGTGTAGACCAAGGAAAAAAGGCTGATGGGAAGCGTTGGTAGATGACCATACGATTCGGCTTCTAGATAGTTCCTTTCTTGTTCATCTACCAAGCACACCTGGTAATGGCAAGTATTGTGTGACTATCCCGCAGAAACGTCCCTTTTGATTCGAGTTGCAAGTGATTAATCGGAACACAGCGGATCTCATGTCTGAGATGAGCACAAATTAAGTGGGCACACATGCAAGGACTTTGCCGGTCATAGTACACGTACCATTATGAGGCCAAAATAGTACGAAATGAGTATGAATAATTCTATAGTTATTTAAATATTTTCGTATCCAGTTAAACTAGATTTTAATATTTTTCCTACTTCTGCTTTGCTACCTCTTTGATTCACATATAGTCAAGCATGCTGGCCCTGTCCTCTCAAAAACATACTGCTGAGCGTGACCTCTGGCTCTCCTAGACAACAGCCCCGGATCTGATTCCGCACGGCCTGGACTTTCCCCTATTGTGTGGTGCTCAGCCCCTCCTGCTTTTCTTTCCAGGTGCCAGATACCTCAACTACATCTCCAGCTGCTCTTCTTCCCTCCCTCCACCGACACAAATGAAACCAAACAAACAACAAACCACTTTCCCTCCTCCCCTGGGAAAGAGAGGCCAAGAAGTCCTGCATAGTTAGTGCAGGAGCCCAGGTCACACTTAGCAAATGGGAGAATCGGAAAGAGCAGAATTGGAACGCCGAGCTTGAGTCTAAATTTAGTATCCCTTCCACCAGCCCAGGCCCTTCTCGCACTGCGGGGCCGTGGCACCAAGTGTCCACCCAAGACTTGCTTGCAGACTAAATATATAGTTCACCTCCCATAAGTGCACTGTGTTCTATTTTTCACATGTAAGTGTCGTTGCAAAACCCTTTTTGTCTTTGGGTATTTTCTCAGTAGACAATTATTAGGTAGAGAGCTGTGAAGTCTTTATGTGAAAAAGAACTTATACTAAAAAAAAAAAAAAAATGCCAGAGACCTTACTGCTACCACAAAGTTTCCTGTAGGCCTGATCCCCAAAGGCATCAAGATATCTCAGAGTCTTCCGTTTCCCCCCCCAATACTTGCTGCCCATTTCCCTGGCCCTCCTCCTAATGGGATAAAGCTGCTTCTTGCCACCCTTAGAAACAAATGGCTAATTTGACTTAACACTTTAACAAACAATTCGCAGTGAAGTATAAATAGTTAACCGCTCAGCAAAAATACAGACTACAGGTTCCCCTCCACCGTCCCCCCTGAACCACATATTTCAGTGTATTTGATATTTTCCAGTTTTGATAAGGAAGAGTTAGGAAAAAATAAATAAATAAAAGAGACCCAAGGGAAGATAAAGTCTGCTTCAGCTCGTTTTATGAGAGGGCTGGTCTGGGCGGGCCCCGGCTGGCCCTGTTTCTCTTTGGGCACTTTGGGATATTCTTGTCCTGTGTGAGCAGCCCTGGGTAGATGGGGCACATGCCTAGAAGGGGTAAGTGGGGCCGCGTTGCTTTCCTAGCCTTTTCTCCACCCAGCAAAGAAAGGGAGAGGCAAGTGAGGTAGTGAGGTAGATACATCCAACCACTTTTGGGCCCTGTCTTTTCCCCCAGTGGGGCAAAAAATGTCCCAAAGAGACAGTTAGGTCATTACTTCCCGGGATCATGCATTTCTCCAAACGGTTCCCTCCCAAAGGTTTTGCCTTTGGGTTTCTTGCGGAAGACCTGGAGACCCAGGGGCAGGAGGGCCCTGGACGGTTTCAAGGCTTGCCTTCCATATGAAACGTTTGTGAATCTAGGTTGATGCGCCTCTAGAACTTGCCCAACGAGCTCTGCTGCACTCAGCAGCGGGTGAGTGACACCCGGAGCCCCGGCCTCAAGTGTGTATTCCGAAGTGTGAAGCACGCACCGAGTGACTCGCCTTACAAATGGGGCTGGCTCGGGCCATTAGCTGTTTCATATTACATGGCAGCTTTTAACCTCCAGCCTACCAGGGCTTAATGAGCAATGGCCTGTCGCATTTCAGGATTTCAAGCCGCCGCTCTTGTTTCGAAGGAGGACACACACTGCGCGCGCAATTAGAGACAACCAGGCTGGGCTTTCGTCAGAGAAATGTAATGCCTGGGAGCCAAATGATGCAGTATTTTTAGTTTTAATTACTGGCTCCTTCTCCAGCCCGCCCCCTGCCCAACCACCTCCCTTGCATCTACCAAGAATCTTAACTCAGTAGCCTCCCCCCCCCCAAATCCTACTGGCCCCACCGATCCTCCTAACTCCCCAAACCTTCTCACTCTCCAGTAAAAGGGGGGCGGGGGTTAAAACCCACAGACCCATTTCACACAGCTTCTTCTCCAGGGAAGAGATCTTAGCAATTTTCTAAGGGCTGGAGAGAGGCAGGAGGTGTAAGAAATAATAATAATAAAAAAAGTTAAAGAAAAATGTAAAAAGCCAAAAATGCCCCACCTCCTCCAAAGAGGCAGTTTTCTACTTCAAAAAACAGCTGTGGTAAAAATATCTCCCGAGAGCAGCCAGCTGTTTATTTATAAATCTGCGCGTAGCGAGGCTGTATTTCTCCTAAGTGTTTTCAAGAGCAAGTGGGGTGTTGGGGTGACGGGGCCGGGGCTGCTGGGGTGACCCGGGGGTGCGGGGGGGGGGGGCGGGAGGCCCCGAGGCTGCGGGGTCGGGGTACGAGAGGCCCTAAGGCTGCGGGATCGGGGTGCGGGGGCTCCGGGGGCCCTAAGCCTGCGGGCCGGGGGTGCGGGGCAGGGGTGCAGGGGCTCCGGCGGGCCCAAGTCTCCGGGGCTGGGGTGCGGACAGGGGTGCGGGCTCCGGGGGCCCAAAGTCTCCGGGGCTGGGGTGCGGGGCAAGGGTGCGGGGGCCTCCGTGAGGACCCAAGGCGCAGGAGGCCCTAAGGCTGCGGGATTCGGGGTGCGAGGGCTCCCGGCCCCAAGCCTGCGGGCCGGGGAGCAGCGGAGGGGGTGCCAGGGGGCCTCCGGGGGCCCCTAGGTGCGGGACGGGGGTGCAGGGCGGGGGTACAAGGGCTCCGGGGGCCCCAATCTGCAGGCCGGGGATGCAGGGTGCGGGGCAGGGGTGCGGGGGCTCCGGGGGGCCCAAGTCTCCGGGGCTGGGGTGCGGGGCAGGGGTGCGGGGGCTCCGGGAGGACCCAAGGCTGCAGGAGGCCCTAAGGCTGCGGGATCGGGGTGCGAGGGCTCCGCGGCCCCAAGCCTGCGGGCCGGGGAGCAGGGAGGGGGTGCAGGGGCTCCGGGGGCCCCAAGGCTGCGGGGTCGGGGTGCGGGGCGGGGGTGCGGGGCTCCGGGGGCCCCAAGTCTGCAGGCCGGGATGCAGGTGCGGGGGCTCCGGGGGCCCCAAGGCTGCGGGGTCGGGGTGCAGGGCGGGGGTACAAGGGCTCCGGGGGCCCCAAGTCTGCAGGCCGGATGGTCGGGGCTCGGGGCCCCAAGGCTGCGGGGTCGGGGTGCGGGGCGGGGGTGCGGGGCTCCGGGGGACCCAAGGCTGCGGGCCGGGGTGCGGGGGCTCCGGGGGCCCCAAGGCTGCGGGCCGGGGTGCAGGGAGGGGGTGCAGGGGCTCCGGGGGCCCCAAGGCTGCGGGGTCGGGGTGCGGGGCGGGGGTGCGGGGGCTCCGGGGGCCCCAAGGCTGCGGGTCGGGGTGCGGGCAGGGGTGCGGGGGCTCCGGGAGGCCCAAGTCTCCGGGCTGGGGTGCGGGCAGGGGTGCGGGCTCCGGAGGGCCCAAGGCTGCAGGAGGCCTAGGCTGCGGATCGGGGTGCGAGGCTCCGCGGCCCAGCCTGCGGGCCGGGAGCAGGAGGGTGCAGGGGCTCCGGGGGCCCCAAGGCTGCGGGGTCGGGGTGCAGGGAGGGGGTGCAGGGGCTCCGGGGGCCCCAAGGCTGCGGGGTCGGGTGCGGGGCGGGGGTGCGGGGGCTCCGGGGGCCCCAAGGCTGCGGGCCGGGGTGCAGAGAGGGGGTGCAGGGGCTCCGGGGGCCCCAAGGCTGCGGGCCGGGGTGCAGGGAGGGGGTGCAGGGGCTCCGGGGGCCCCAAGGCTGCGGGGTCGGGGTGCAGGGCGGGGGTGCGCGGGCTCCGGGGGCCCCAAGGCTGCAGATCCGGGTGCCCGGCCAGGGGAGCGCGGGCTGCAGGGCGCCGGGCCGAGCCCGCGCGGCAGCTGCGGTTCCCCCGCTGCCCCAGCAGAGGGTGGT